TGATTCCAGGAAGCTGGGGGCAGAGCAACTCTGCCTCGGGCTTCCTGTAGTCAGCCCCTGGTCAGTTTCAGCAGCAGCAGCTGAATCTGGAGCCAGTTCCGAGTTACGTACAAATTCAACTTAAGAACAAACCTATAGTCCCTATCTTGTACGTAACCCGGGGACTGCCTGTATTGGTACTGAAGGCTATGCCACAGAATTTCAGGTTTACATTTATGAATGCCAAAGGCTATACTGCAGCAATTCCAGAAGTCAAAACTGTTTAATAAAGATATAGGTTGGAAAATGTACCAGAGCAGGGGTGGGCAAACCATGGCCCACATCTGGCCCATCAAGTCTTTTAATTTGGCCGAACAGTAGGGCTAAGGCAGGTTCCCGTCTTCCCTTACCTAACAATGCTCCTGGAAGCGGCCAGCAAATTCCTACAGCCATGGGGGTAGGAGGAGGGGACGGACAGATTGCTCTGAGCACTATTCTCACCACACACCATCCCTGCAATGCCCATTGGCTGGGAACAGGGAACTATGCCAATGGAAGCTTCAGGGGTAGTGCTTGCAGGTGAGATCAGCACATGGACCAGCCTGCACTCCTCCCTGCCAGGAGCTGCTGTCAGATGTGTCAGCTGCTTCTGGGAGTCATGAGGAGCCAGGCTGAAGGAGGGAGGGTAGTTCTATCTAGCCCTGCTGCACCACTGACTGTGAGCCATCGGAGGTAAGCAGCATATGACCGGAACACATGTTCTGTTCTGCACTCTCCTCTCTGCCCTGATCCCTGTATTCCTTTTGCAGATCAAGCCTGTGTCTTGAGCCCTCTCCTGCAGCCCCTGCTGAGCCTCCTCCTGCATTCTACCTTTTGCCCCAGACCTATACTCATGAACCACCATACAATTTCCCTACCCAGATGTGGCCCCTCAGGCCAAGAAGTTTGCCCACCCCTGCCATAAAAGCTTTTTGTTACACCTAGCAATAAATAAGTCAAAGCACTTGGTAGGATATATTAAATATAATATATTCCTATTACAGGAGGACATTTGCTTTCTGGTAATTGAGCTTTTGTGGTAAGTAGCACCTGATACTCACTGAGGTCCCATGGTATTCATATTGCTCATAATCAAAGAGAATTTCTTGTCTAAAAGGGAGGAAAAAAGTATTTGCTTAAGCAGCAAACTGGCCACTTGCTTTAAATTCCTTACATTAGCAAGAAAAAAAATTAAGTATGTTTACATTGATTTCATATTTGCAAAAAAAAACCTCAGAGGCTAAACTAATGAGGCTTTTTTTATTAAAGGTGTTATCCTTTAGTAACATTGAAATTTACAAAACTGCAATGTAGTTTCTATTTTAAAGCAGTCTTATCAAATGTTATTGAATATCAACCTATACAATCCCATTGACACTAACAGAATCGCACAGGAAGCTAATCAGGGCAGCATTTTATCATGATAGATATGTTGCACCTAATAGTGGGCAAGTTTATGAACTATTAAATTTTTAATAAAATAAACTTACAGCTATGCTACAAAATACAGTAAAACTCCATTGGTCTGGCATCCAATGCTCCGGCACTCCTGATGGTCCAGCACCATCGGGAACCTGGAAGTGCTCCGGGCAGCCCAACAATTGGAGCTGCTCAGCCCCCAGCTTCCCCTATTCAGCCACTGCTGAAACTGACCAGCAGCTGAATAGGGAAAGCTGGGGGCAGAACAGCTGGGGTGCTGCTGGGTTGGTCCCGTAGCGCTGCCCCTCAGGGCTGCAGGACCAACCCGGCAGCACCCCAGCTGTCCCTGATTAAGCCGCTGCTGAAACTGACCAGCGGCTGACTCCCAGGAGCCCAAGGCACAGCTGCTTTGCCCCCGGCTTCCCAGAATCAGCCGCCGGTCCGG